TGTCAATTTTGGAGTCAAATCCAAACTGTTCTGAGAGACAAATCCTTCTGAAAATGATATGGAAAACCAAGTACACCGGCATTGCACAACAGTTCAAAATAACGATAAAATCGTTTAAAGAGATATTTGGTTCTTTCAGCTCAAAAATATGTGTAAGAATCTATTAGAAATTTTTAGTGACCCGTTTGTCAACTTTAAAGAGAAAAATATGTGCATAAAATTTCCCCCTTTTCGTTCACTATTTTCTTCTTTCTTCAAAAATATGCTAACAAAAAAACAAAAAAAGATGATTCCAAAATCTTGAAGTAACATGATGGGTGAGAAATATGCAGTTAGCAGGAGTTTTAAATGAAATAATAAGAAGCCACTTTCATTTAATGAAAAAAAAAATTATCTAGGGGCCAAGAGGACATCTACATTTAAGTGGTTCTAACTGCACACAGGAGCATTATTTAATGAAGCACCCTCTATAGAGCCAGCATTCAATTCATTTCGTACGAGTATAGAGTAACAGTAGCTGATATTTCAAGCTCAAGACCATTTGGGATCTTTGCTTTTAAATGGAGGAAATTCTAACCAGTGACTTTTGTTTGTACAGAACGAATCTCTGAACGGAGGTGGGAAGCTGTTTGTGGACAAACACCCAAACCTTAAGGTTAGAGTTGTTCATGGAAACACCCTTACTGCTGCTGTCATCCTCAATGAAATCCCTCAACATGTTAATGAGGTCTTCTTAACTGGTGCTACTTCTAAGCTTGGGAGAGCAATCGCCCTCTACCTTTGCCGAAGGAAAGTCAGAGTTTTGGTAAGTACCATCGTATACTCTTTTTCATAACTCACTAACCAGTGCTGGATTTCAAAACTCATTAACTCTATATGAAAGTTAACAAAATCCCTAACTTTCCCTAAATTAAGTTTGGAAAACATAAACCAGCCTTGAATAAGCAGGATAATATGGTAGTATCTTGTAAAAATGACAAGAAATCTTCCTTCCAAGTATCTTATAAGAAGGACTGGTGGGAGTATGATATCACATTATTATATTATATACTGTTGTTAGGCGTGTTAAATATGGTGAACGATTTATATGCTGATATCTGACATTGAATTAATTTCTTGACCTACTCAAAGTGGTTAGAGAGTAGCAATAATAATAGATGTGAGATATAATGTGATAAGATCGCCAACCCCACGACATGAGGTCCATACGGGTGGCCCATGTTTCTGTGTGTAGCAAACACCAGTTCATATTTCAGGCATACATGAGCTCATTCATAATAATAAGTATTTTTGTCTTGAAGCCATTCATGTGCACTTTTTTTTAATATAGAATATGTGCATAGCCATAAGTTGAATTGAAATCAAATTTTCAGAGGTTAGTGATCCAATTAATATCAATACTAAGTGGGATAGCTACAATCATTGTTGCAGATGTTGACTTTTTCAACTGATCGTTTTAAGAGCATTCAAAGGGAAGCCTCTCCAGAACACCAAAACTATCTTGTTCAGGTCACAAAATACCAAGCAGCGCAACACTGCAAGGTATATTATACAGTTGGTTGAAGTGATCGAACTTTACATTAGTTTAACATTCTCAGAATTAGTATAACGATCAAAACACGGCAAGGTTGCTTGATTCCTTACAAGCTTTTGAACATTGTATATACATGGAGATCGGAGAAAACCATTTGATTTGCGTGCCTTTCGTGACAAATTTATTTGCTCTTTGCAGACATGGATTGTTGGAAAGTGGATCACTCCCAGAGAGCAAAGCTGGGCACCAAGTGGAACACATTTTCATCAATTTGTTGTTCCTCCTATATTACACTTCAGAAGAGACTGCACTTACGGCGATCTAGCCGCCATGAGAGTGCCTGATGATGTGGAAGGTCTTGGCTACTGTGAGGTAAGCAATAAGCCCTACCTGTCAATTAATTAACTCTTACATAAACTTGGTCCACAAAAGACGACTTACCATATGTCAAACCCTCTATATATAACTTTAAAAAAAAAAAAAAAAAACAGAGAGACACGAGTGATCTACTTACTGGTGTTAGTATATCTGATATATGTTTTACATGGGTTTTATGCAGTACACGTTGGAGAGAGGAATAGTGCATGCGTGCCATGCTGGAGGTATGGTTCACAGTCTTGAAGGTTGGACTCATCATGAAGTTGGAGCCATAGACGTTGAGAGGATTGATGTTGTGTGGAATGCAGCACTCAAACACGGTCTAAGACCTGTCTCAGCAAAGCCAGCTCTGAAAAATTGATCTCTCTCTCTCTCTCACAATCATAAGATGATGGAGAAATTACTTAACTTCGAAGGAACATTTTAATTAATGTGCATGGCTCTCTTTTCTGTTTGGTAGGGCCACAATTAATTAGGGGGAGTTCAATTCTATAATGTCTTGTTTTTATACTGTCATCCATGTTGTGACATTATAAATGTTTATATATATATCCAGGCTACTTAATGAAATGAAAGTTCTCTTAGTTCTGTCGCTTGTACTTTCTATCGAGCTTGGTACTTATTAAAATAATCAACACTACTTACGCTACTTCCTCTGGTTATGAATATCCTATAAAGAAATAGGCAGCAATTAACTTAAGAATCTTAAATGGCAAAGGGAAAATCAAAGGAAAGGTACTGTTCTTAGCATGAGAGATGCAAAATCAAAAGTTGAAGGTACTTTCTCCTCAAGCTATAGATAATCAAGAAGAAGCCAGATCAACAGTTATTAGAGTACAGTGTAAACATGTTGCAATTCTCTCTACGTGCAACGAAAATAAAGTTGTCATTCGAATTTAATCAAACTTGTTATTGTCTTGGCATATATAGGAATAAAATTTAGCAAATGATAGGCTGTATGACAACTTATGTGAGTAGTTGAAATCTTAAAATAATGTTGATCAGAGAGTATTCGTCAATTTATTTGTTGTGTACTGAGAAATTTTTCTAAATTTCAAGCAAGATTACAAGTGCTATCTTCTTTTTCTTGCTTATCTTGGTCTTGGTTCTAGTTCTTTTTCAACTAGATTTTCAATAAACTAATTCTGATTGAATGGAATTTATTTCAATAGTTTATGTTTGAATGTGTGTGTTTTTCAATTATCCAGGCATTTAGATAAATTATTTATTCATTTTTTTAACAAATATTTAGCCTTCCAATATCTTCCAATATTTGATATTTCACTTGCACATTGATTCAATCCCGCTATGTATATGCTAATATATTCCCCACTTAATTTCATTTGAAGTAAACATTGGGAAAATGACACTTCAAGATCTCAGAGAAGACAAATAATGACCTCTAAAAACCTTATTCTAAAAACTAATGACATTGAAGAGCTTAGGTTCTTTGCTGGTATTAACAGAAGTTTATTTACAAGCAAAAACACAGACTCCTGACAGCTAAAAACCGATAAGAATCAAATTAAAAGTTTAACTACAAGTAATCGAGCTTCTATGATTTTTTGTTCATGATCACTAATTAAGCTTTTGGGTTTCATAACTCAAATAACACACAAATTTAAAAATGAAGTTTTACATAACTTACAATTAAGCTTCCAGTTTCTTTAAAAATCACTATGTTTCTAGGTAGGGCCGTTTTGGTCTGCCCCTCTTTTAATAAGCATCATCCCTTCAGCGTCATTTTCAGAATTTAAGATCGCACTCTCTCTCTCTCTCTCTCTCTCTCTCTATATATATATATATATCTTTTCTCATGTCATTTTTTTTTTTGAATGGTAACTGAATACTACTAAAACATCAAAAGAAAGAGTAGAAGTAAAAAGAAACTACGACCCTTCATCAGCATCCACCTTCCACTGATGGTGTGAGACATGTCTTATCATATCTTCTTTTTTTTTTGTTGGTACATTCTTCTCATATCTTCCTGAATAAATTAAATGTGGATGGTGCTGTGAAATTGAACTCCTCTAAAGCTGGTTGTCGAGGTTTACTTAGTGCCTGTAAGGTTCCGTTTGATACGAAGCATTGAAAATAAGGGATTAGGATTAGGATTATAATTAAAAAAAAATCATTAAAATAGTATTTAACATGAGTAATTACTTATTATATGGGATTAGGCAAATCCATAGAGGTGAGATGGGAGAATGCCACTTGGCATTCTCCAATCCCATCTCCTGACATTTTTTAATATCACATTTATGGGTTTGTCTAATCCCATATAACAAGCAATCTGCACTCTTTTAATAGATTTTCTTAATTACAATTTCAATCTCAATCTCTTATTTTTAATGCTTTCTACCAAACGTAACATAAGAGTCATTGGATTGTTGGATTTACCCATGAATTGGGAATCTGCAGCTCACAAGAGGCGAAAGAATGGGGCATGTATAGGGGATTAAAGCTCACATGGGATTTTGGATTCAGAAACATCATCCTTGAATCAGACGCCAAAATCCTGATAGAACAGCTCTCTACTCACCAGTCAAATACCAACGCCAGTCTGCTTTTTATTCAGATTCAGGAAATGTTGCAGTTCGATTGGAATGTCCAGGTGAACTATATATCGAGGAGAAGCAACAAGGTTGCTGATAGCTTGGCTAAAATGGGGATCTCAAAATCTCGTTTTTTTTATTGTTGCCCGACTAGTTTAAGGGACCTTGTGCAGGAAGATTGTATGGGATATGATCCCACTTGCTTTTAGCCTCTCTTGTAGCAAAAAAAAAAAAAAAAAAGCGCTTCATCTCTGTTTTATTTATTTATTTAATGGAGAAGCGTTTCGGGGTGAAGTTTTCGTGGGCTGACGGCGCCGAAGCATGCGGCTCAGGAACTCAACGTAATATTGGGCCAAACACTGGGAATATATGGGCTACTTTTTGGGCCAACAATATTCTGGGCTTTTAATCGGGCCTCTTGTACGAGCTCGAAAGAGTTCGGGCCGCAAAGCAAAATGACACGTGACACTGGCCAATTCTGAAGGCGACACGTGTTTCCTTCGGGAATCTCCCTGTAACCGCCACAGCGGGGGAACTCTCGTTCCCTCCTGAACAAGTCATCTTCGCATTTTGGGTTTCACAGCGCGGGAAGGTGAGAAATGGAGAACAGAGCACGTCTCCGAGTTCAGAAGACAAAAGGTTTCAAGGGTAGAAAGAAGCATTTGGTGAAAAGGGTCGTTGATTATCTCAAATCCGATACTTTCTTGTATGCTCCCTTGCTCTCTACGGTGCCCACTGATTTTCGCTCACCTTATTCTCTCGCTTCTTCAACTAGAGGTCAGTCTATTCCATAGAATTTGTCTTTTACAGTTTTTTTGTTGGGTTTAGGATGAATACAACGTTTTCTTTTTTAAAATGAGACAGTGGTCGAATTTAAAAAACCCATTATAGAAAACAAGCCGTTTCTAGAGCAGCTCGGGGAGTATATGAAATCTGACGACTATATGTATGCTCCTGTTGCTGGTCCTCCTCATTCGCTTCAAGGTATGCTTCTTTGTTCCTATTTATATATACATTTGCAGAACATCTTGGTTGGCTAAAGCTGGTGACCCATTTTCTACTTCTCTGAAGTTATATAGCTATTACCTTTATTTTAACTACGTGTAACACGACCTCTTAGTTCTTAGTTTGCTTATTACTGAAGCTTTTCTTGTTAATTGCTTATTGAATTATTTATCTGAATAGCGCTTGGGCTGGTTGGTTCCGCTCAGTCTCTTCTTCGGTTCTTTCAATTATTGCACTGGCACTATTTTATAGCTACCATATATATTTTAGTGTTCTCTCTGTTTTATACTTAAAGTCGAAGTTCACTGCAATGATGGATAAATAGCCTTTTGAATCCTCAGAAAATTGTAAGCCATCGTATTCTCTCTGACAATTCTCCTACCGGGGCCGGGGAGTATTTGAAATGTAATAAAATCGAGAAAGATCGGAAATTCAGAAGAACTGATTTGAAGTTGCAACTGTTGGTAGAAAACAATTAAGGTTTGTCTGTCGGAGTGTGGAAAAATCTCCAAAAGACGGTTTTCACTTTTCAGGCCTCGGTAATAGATGCCCTGCAACTTGCTTCTTGCCTATAATAACCCTTCCCTTCCTTTTTATACATACTGTCCTCATAAGGATTAAATGGACCTCAAAATCCAAATTTTCCTGCAGATAAATATGAAATAGGATTGAATATCTATTAGATATATATATTGTCATAACTACATCAAAATCATTTCTTTGCAAGAGGATAAAATATGCTTGTCACAGCTCTGTGAAGATCTTTAGCATCTTGGTGAACAGAATAAGCCATTATGCCTTATGATGGTCCAATAATGCTTGCATTTACAGTTGTCTCTTGTAGTTGTAGATCTCAGTTAAAGTTAAAAAGAAAGTGCACCGAGTATGCCTTTATTCTCCCAATCAGTTCGGTCATCTGGCAGAATTCTTTTACCATCATTTTTATAATTAATGTGAAATGGAGAAAAACAACCTACAATTGCATTTTCCCAGCATCCAGAATTATTTTTTAGTCTCCCCCCCCCCCCCCAACTTATCCATTGAAAGGTCCCTGTGCAACGGGGATAGATATCTGGCTGCTCGGTGGCAAGGTGCTAAAGTTATTTGGGAAATCCTTCTATGTTCATTTGCTCTGCTCATTTTGTCCCTTGAGTGGAATGGGCACTAGTCTTCACATTCATTTTGAAATATTTTGTTTCTTTCTTTCTTTCGTTTTTTTTTAAATGGGCACTATGACATGTCAATGAAGGTCCATCCCATTAATGATTTAACCAGAGAACAAATAACAAAGAAGGGATCATAATTGGAGGAGGCAGACAGGTCTATTGCCTTTGGGTGACATTCCTCATGCATCTCCATCCATTTACTTCAAAATTGAATATATGTGGAAATTTCTTGCCCTCTAATTCTTTTGTTAAGGACAATGATCATTGACTCTCATCGTATAACTTCCTCCTCCTTGATACTTCTAAATCAATTTATTCTAACCCAATGGAAGAACCAAGTAGGAATATCTTTAAAATTGGTTATCAAAGCAGGACTTCAAGGGGTGTTTGGAAAATCCAAAACCATGGTTTCAGAAGCATTTTTCCGCAAAACGAGATAATCTCCTCCACATATTTACTTCGTAATCCGTAAAAGCACTTGTGAAACCATGGTTTGGTTTCTATCCAAACACCCATTGACACATGGGGAATCGAACCATCTTTGTGTAGCATAATTATATTTCTCAATGACTTGTGAGCTATCTTGCGCCTAAATGTGAAAAATAAGTAGAGATTTTAATTTTGTTGGCTGTCTTACCTGATCATGATGTCTTTCCAGTCTCTTGGTCCCACCAAAATTTTACACAGTTTGATAGTTTATTTGGATGCTTTTTCATCCTAGTGTTTGGAGTGTGCTGGAAGCTTATACTAGACTGGAGAACAGGACCTAAACAGCCTTACCAGTTACCAAAGAATGAAAATTTTGGTTGAACTGGAATAAGTAAAAATGAATCCTTGAACTAGGAAGGCTAAGTCCTAGACTTAAGGCGAGTTTTTATTTCTATTATTTTTTCCCTGAGTTAAGGTGAGTTTATTTACTCTCATTTTGGGCATCAGAAACTCTGTTGTCTTAGCTCACTCCTTCTGAAGTTATGCTATCCCTTGGAGATTTATAGAACATTGTCTTAAAGAGGACATTTTTATTAACTACAATCTATATATGGATAGTTATAATTACAGAAGTTTTGAGGATATATCGATGTTATAGCCAATTGATTATATTGCACTAAGACCTGCCTTGTTGATGATACATCTATATGTGTACGTTCTTATTGTGCTCTTTCAATACAGCCCCCTTCATTTCCTCATTCTTTGAAAAGATAAGGATGTCTGTATCAACGACAAGATTGACTATGAAAGTGAATCAACCAGCCGACTATTCAGGAAATGCAAATCAGAGATCTGAAAATTATCTTCCTCGATCAGGCCCCTCTGATCAGCATCCTCGAGGGCACATAGAAGCTGTCAAGCACACTGTGTGCCAAACTTGTCTCTCAAATTCTGCTCCAGGTATTAGTTAGCTTATTTAACAATTCATTATCTTTTCTATGTGGGTCCAATCTACTGCCGGTGGATGCTGAATTTGTTATTCAAGTCGATAAGCTTCCCAGTTACGTTAATCAAAGTTCTATGCCATCATGACAGAGCATTAGACATAAGAGAAAACTTTGAAGCAAATAATTTATTGTAGACTTGTTTGATTAGAACTTTACTACATAAAAGGCATGGAAATTGAAGGGCCCTTTGATTGGGAAAAGCTTGTATTTTGTATTTTCTTAAAAAAGCTCTGGTATTTGTATTTTCTCTCTGCACAGTTGTAGTATGGTATGCCTTAGAAGCTATCGTATGAAATCCAGCTACAAACATGAGGTTCTCATTTTGTGCTGCAGGGAATGTCACCCTCAATCCTCATTTAACAGCTCGTTGTTGATTGGAACTTTGGGATGTGAAAGTTATTTCTCCTATACAGTTTGTTTTAGTTGTACAAATGATGAATATATGTAAAATTTCAGCAGTTAACCTCTTTTTAGAAGAACATCATATGTAATTGTCAGTCATAACTTCCATTCCCCAGTTTCTCTTATGGTTGAGATATTTCATTCGGTAGTTTAGACGTCTCCTCAAAGCTAAGCCTAACCTGTTACGTCAACATATAGCCATTTCTATGTTTGGATTGGTGGAATTAAGAGGAACTTGGCTTGTTCTGCTCAAGTTGTTTTCGAAATGACTAGACTGTGCAGTCAGCCGAAACGGATTGGATCAAGTTCTCATGATAATTGGGAGACATGGTACTTCTTTGAACAGTTCTAACAGGTGGGTGTCTGTAGTTTGCACAATAGTCAAAGTATTAGTTGGAATACGGGCCGTATGACTAAACAGATACCAAACCAGGGAGTATTGTTTGTCATGGATGAAGCCTGTTTCTAATAATTAATCTGGCTTATGATTCGTCATTTTTTTGACTAGTACTTGGGATTCTTCGGGGTCGTAAGAGGAAAAAGATAATAAAGGTGGAGGATAGGAGCGACTTGCACATGCAGGTGTATGTGGATCTGTGTCACTCGTTACAAATACTGACTGCAAATGACATCACTCGAGGAAGTACAGAAAGCCAATTCAAATTTTGGTTGGAGTCTTGGTTATAAAAATTCAAATCTCAATAAATGCAATGCAAGTTTTGAATGGCTGAGATGTCTGGTCCGGCATTTAAGGAGGAGTTTCAAACCGATGGGGGTCCATTATTAGCCGGAAGTGCATACCCACGAGCATACATAGCTCTCAAAACTCTATAATCACGGTACCTAAGCCATTAGCAAATATCCATTCGCTTAAAGCTAGTTGGATTTGCATGGTGGCGGGCATGAAGTAAATAGAAACATATAATTGGTACAAGCTAGAACATAAGGCGTGGCACTAACATGTATTGGTTCTACTGGAAGGAATTTTAGCTGCTTAAGTAGGTCTTGAATTTGAGTTTTGTGAACAAAAAAAACATTTTTGAAAGAGCTGCTTTTAACTGAGTTGGAATAGGGAGAGATAGGGTAAAGTGAGTATGATGAGAGTTTGGAAGGCATAGAAATGTGAGGGGCATTACAAGTACAAGAGGTGAGGGTCGCTCTAGGCGTGGGCATGGCCTTTACAGCCAGGGTACCTAGCTTGGTATGATTCAAGTAGGAGAGTAAGTGTGCACATGATGCATTCATCCTATGAATTGAGAGGTCCCCTCCGCTTTTGGCTGTTGCACGTGTGCGGCATTTAATTCCGCCCCCTCCCCTCCCTATATGCCTATTTAGCCTTCGCATTTTCCATTTCATTTGCATTAGCCTTACAATCGTAGAAGTGAATTTAAATATATACAGTTAGGACACCAGACATGTTCCCATCAGTGGTGGGGCCTCAGTTTCATCAGTAACACCAGACTCAACGCAGTATGTGCGAGCTACACCTAAATTTTTCAGGGGATTTGAATTAACTTTTTAAAAGTGATTTTACAGAGTTCAAGATAATTACATGTGAAGAGTTTTGCAGTGACTTATGTAAAAGCACTTTTTAACTTCAAACCAATACTTGGCAAGTAAATTACAAATCGTTCATGTTACCTAAATTAGATTTTACGGGCAACTATCTATTCCGCTTGTTTTAATATTCAATTCAATTAAGTATAGACGTCGAGGAGGATGCAGGTTCATCTTCCTGGGGTATAAAAGTGAAAAGTATATGTAAAAATTGAAAATTGCACTTTCGACCACTTGTTTGAAAAACAAAACTCTATATTATTTACCTAGAAAGTCAATCAGATATGTGCGGGGTTTTTTTAACGTTCCATGCATACACAAACCATATATATTTAAAAACTTCAAGTTTTGAATTTTTTTTAATAAAGAATATTAATTATGTATATAAATATAATTTTCTTGCTAAGTGAGCAACAATTTTTCATTAAAAGCTGGTCAAGGATTTAGATTATTCTCTATCAAGATTTCATTCAAAGAATCAATTAATATTTGAATCTTTTACTTAACCAAGTCGGCATAACTGCGCTCCTACTTAGCATACATTAGGTATATGCCACAATCATAGCCAATTATTGAACCCAAAATGCTGTAATATATTTTTTCCACTTAAAATGTGTTAATAAATATTTAAAATTTCACACTTGTGCAAATAACTTATCTACAGTTACTGATATCCTATACATTATTATTTCACTGAAAGAAATATATACATATTGTAGGAGGGATTAAACGCATTTGATTTAGAATTTAGTTTACTTACGTGCACACACGCGCATGATTCAAAAAGTTTTAAGAGAATTATATGCAGGAAGATTAGGTGCCATTTAGTATCACTTTTTTGTAAGAAATTAAAACAAAACTTCTATCACATACTTATCTAGTATTCTGTAAATCACGATTGAAAAATTATTAATAAGTTATTCCAAATGGATCCTAAATCTGAAGGCAAACATATATAGGGAATTGTTTGGCTGAAAATAGTTGAACAGGGCAATAGAACTACTAATAATAGCAATAATGATGGAGTAGTATAAGGCTGTGTTTGGGTGACACCCCAAACCATGGTTTGGGGAATAAATCACCCACTCAAAAACCAAAACCATGATTTTGAAAAAAGCAAAAAAATTTTGCTTTTGGAGAAAAAAGAGAAAGTGTAAGAGCCTATAGAATATGTATCTTGTTATTTTTTTTATAAACATATTTTTTATAAACATATTTAATCTTATATTTTATAAATATATATACATATTAATTATTTATTAATTATATTATCTTATGTATTATTAATTATGTTAATAAAAAATATATTATTAAACAATTTTATTCCTTCAAATTAAAATACATCATAAAATCTATTTTTTCTGTAATTATCATATTAACTTATGTCTTTTTTTTAGTAATTTGTATATATAAAAAGTGTTTCCGATAACAACTATCCAAATACTCTCACTTCTCAAAATCACTTTTTTATAAAATCTATTCTTTTTAAAATCTATTCTTCAGAATCACTTTTTCAAATCACGGTTTGGTTTCATCTAAACACACCATGTAGGACATCAATCTTTATCTGGGTTAGGCTGGTGTTTTGGCCAGTTCCAGATACTGGTCACGCTAGAAAATGACCCCATGCGTGGTCATACGGAAATCACAGATAAGCAGTACAGAAAAGTCAAGCAATTTACGGCCTCTTCCTTAGACTCTATAATAAGCTACTATGCTTCATCTCCAATCAATGAATTCTATCACTGTTTCTTGACTGATACGTCGTCGTTCGTTGGTTCCCTTCTTCCTCACATGCACTGTGGGAAGAAGGATGAGATGAACCCTAGCTGTTACTTTTTTCTAGCTAAAAATCATCTGTATGATTGGCATCTTCATTGGGGTTTTCAGAGGTACTTCGTCCTTCTGATTGGACCTGGCTTGTCAGAAATCAACCCCCAAGTTTCTTCTCCTCTTGATAAGAACCAAACATAGGCCGTCCGTATCTTTGAACATGGACAATTGTCTTCATAATTGTACGACCGCGGCTCTATTCATTCTTCGTTCACGGATTATGAACTAAATTATTGGCTATTCAAAGTAAATCACACTATTCATAATATGTCTTCTATAAATTATATTGCTTGAAAATACTAGAAATGAGTGTAGTATTCTTCAACTTTTGTGAGTAATAAAACTGACTAGCATATTGTGCGCGCGCGAGATATATATATTATAATAATATTTTCAAACACTAAGACAATTTATTTTTTTAACAATATCTTCTGATGTCCAATATTATTTGAGTCCAAAACCTTTTTTTTTATAATAATTATACGTTATTTGTTATCCTTTTGCTTAGACATCATTAGTGCATCCAAGCTTCATCTTGATGATGAACTCCCCCGAGTTTGGATTCATAAGTAGTGACAATTATCTTACATAAGGACTCGTTTCCACTATCAGTGTGGATTGATTTGGACATCCCCTTAGATTCACCGGAAACTTCACCTTTGATTATAGACAAATCATGCAAATCTAGATTCGTATAATACAAGTGGGAATTAATTAACAATTGGCTTATGATGAATAAGACTCTCATACTGTGGCTAAGGCATGTTATCAAGGAAAATTTACAAACACAGAAGAGATAAACTAAAGACAAGTTATTAATTAACACTGATGAGGAAAAAAAGGCACAGTTGAGTTAAGCAGGCTGAGGGAAAGTTACCGACAGAACCAATAAATGATATTATTATTTGAATTGGCTATTGCAAGACAACTGTTTGAAGCAAGCCACTTTGAGGATAAGTAATCTAATAAGATGTGGCCATCTGTCAGCTGTACAGGCAACATATAGACATTTCGTAAGAGAGGAAAACGAGTCTATGTAAGGCATTTTTATTTTTATTTTTATTTTTATTTTTATTTTTATTTTTTGCTTATATTAATATTTCTATGAATGGTTGGGCTTGGTGGGTCCTAAGGAATTTAAATAGGGTTTATGGCATGTTTTTGTGGGTGTTGCTGAATGAATAAGAGTGTGTCGTTTGCTGTAGTTGCAGGTAGAACCAAACAAGAAGAAGAACGTGACGATCTATCTAAATGGATACCCATTTCATTTCGCTGTTTTGCAGCAATTCCCTCAAAAAGCCAAAACAACGCAGGAGACACACGCACGAGCGCTGCTCTGATGGCGACTTTTGCATATGCCATAATCAATACCTTTGCCCGCCTTCCAAATCACTCCTTTCTTAATTTCTTTTTTATACTCCCTCCCCTCCTTCTTGTTCCTAATATATGAGCTAATAATCGAGTAGTTGGATTTAGTTCTCAATATAAGAATTTAATCAGCTCTATTAATACCAGGATATTTTAGGAAGTTGTCATAATTACCTAATTTATTTGACTGTCTTGATTTATTCAAATTAGTTAATTAGTTTTTATAGTAATGATCAGAGGACGTAAGTGTGTATATATACTTTGTATCTCATCACTGCTCATTTCACTTTCCATTCCCTAACCAACCGTTTTGCTTTCTGATATGTCCAATTAATATCATCCAAAATCTTTCCCACTTTTTC